TCAGACCCTTCAATGCCTTCAAATGTTGCCTAAAAGCCATGAGACATGGTGCTCTTGGAGCACTTCAACGTAGAACGTGCCATTAAATTAATGTGGGTCAGTGTAGATGGACTAAACTGGCATTAAGCAAAATAGAACTTAGTATACTCGTTAAAATGTCTAGTTGCCATTGTGTTAATTATGGCTTTAATTTTAATCTGGGAAATATTAAAATTTGGAAAGCACAATTAGTATTTCACAACTGTAAGAAAAACTGTTCACACAGGCCCTAATTATCTAATAGAGATCATTTTGCGACCCTCATGTAAGCACTGTTTCGATTGCCAAAGAGCAAAAAGATTGCAAAAAACAAAAACCGTTTGGAACCTCTTTAATAAGGCTGGATACGAAAAGTAAAAGTTAAAACATTCAATTTTATGCAAAAATAATGGATTTCTTTTCACCTCATGTAATATTAGGTGTACAACTTTGCTTCCGCCGGCTGAGGCCGGTTGAAATACATAGATGATAATGCCTATAAAGTGAGTGTGGTCAGTGCCTAACGAATTGTCATCGCCGTTTCAGTGACAGTTGTTCTTGTTTTCGTATTATTCACGCTCGAAAATGTCTGTTTATGTGCCTAATTCTCGCCATTTGGGGGAAGTTTTACTTTTCTGTTACAATTCGAAAAAAAAAAATGTAGCCGAAGTGCATCGAATGCTCTCAGAAGCTTACGGTGATGAAAAGTGGGTTCGATACGATAATCCTAAACGCAGAAAATCATGTGGAAAGTCCGGGCCTGCTTCTTCGTCGAAGGCAAAATCGAATATTCACGGCGCCAAGGTTATGATTTGTATTTGGTGGGATCAGCTCGGTGTGATTTACTACGAGCTCTTAAAACCGAGTGAAACAATCACAGGAGATCGCTACCGAACGCAACTGATGGGCCATGGTCGCGCGCTAAAAGAAAAGCGGCCACAATATCAAGAGCGTCATGACAAAGCCATCCTTCAACACGACAATGCTCGGAAAAGTAGTCAAAAAGTACTTGGAAACGCTGAAATGGGAAGTCTTGCCCCACCCGCCGTATTCCCCAGATGTCGCCCCTTCTGACTTCCACCTATTCCGTTCGATGGTACACGGCCTGGCAGATCAAGCAGATCCGAAAATTGCCGGAAAGATGGGGAAAGTTGTCGCATGCGAAGGACAAAAAAACGGCGGAAGCCAAGTTGTACACCTAATATTATATATTAAAAAGGCAAGGCAGGATTTTCAAAGTGAACACCCTATTTTATGTATGTGCATATATTGTTCACGCATATTTTTCTATAAAGTACTTACATATATATTTATAGAAATCCATGGAACGTATAACGTATAAATAACTGCCACTCAGTGCACATAATTTTTGGTTTATTTCTTCCAAATGAGCAGACTTCAGCAAAGTCCCAGAGGTAAGCAACCAAAAAAGAAAAACACAAAAAATATGTCGATATGTATGTTGGAACTCTACTCGTTTGGAAGGGAATTTACTGCTACGTGCAAGCCTAAAATGCGAAAGTAAATTGAAACTTCTTTAATATTGACGAAAAAATTAGATAGAAAGTAGGAAAGTAAAGGCGAAAGCAAGCAGCTGTCAGCGTGTAGTCAGCATAGGCGGTAGAGGCGGGTTGTTCGGGGTACTTAAGCGGCAACAAGCTCCCTCAGGGTATGAAGTTAATAGTGGTAGGGATTTGTAGTTATATTGCAAAAATTAAGGAAAAGCAGAACTAATTCGAGTTGAATCTTTTGTAATATCTTCAGACCAGAAAAAGTTGTAACGGTAAGACGTCCAGAATAAATAGAAAAAAGACAAATACGAAATAAATGAACCCCTCTACAACTGGCTGCCAGAGCTACCAATGTCAAAGCTTTTCCATAAATGCAAATAAAGTACGCCAGTTATGCTGTACAATAAGCCAGGATAAACAGGCAGAAAGTCAATTTATGGGCATCTTCCAGGATATGTTGATGATGTTAAAAACTTTTTACGACTTAGAAACAAAAAGAAGGCCGTAAAAGATTTACGGCGCTGAAAACAATAATGCGTAAAGTTAATTTAACATTTTAAAGCAAAGCAAATTTGCATTTTTATCGTTCAGCAGAGCGTTCAAAACGAGTTGGGGGACGAAGTGCGCCAGCCATTCACAGGCAAAGAGCTGCTTTGACCAAACGCATCTCAGTCAATGTCACATTCCACTAGGAATTCACTCTTTCCCCTCTCAAACAAATGCTGCTGATTGCTAACGGTTAGTTTGTAGCGGAAATTTGTGCGCTTTTACGCTCCCAACGGGTTCGTTGAACCATTTAACGGTACACGGCATAGAAAATTACGGTGAGGGTAAAGCAAACAAGTGTCACATGAAATTACAAAATAAATTATGTGTGAAACGGCGCATGTCAACAACAAATACACACACACACACACACACACACAACAATAATAGTAACAACAACACTCGTTTGCATAATGAGCAGATTGTTTGTTGGCTCAGTCGGATCGACCAGCGCTGGTTGCTTAGTTAACTGACTTGTAGCCAAATGTCAAGCGGCGCAATTAAGCAACTAAATACTATTTGACGGAAGTTGATCGTCAAGGGATATAGTTGAAACATATTTAGACTGCGTCATTAAGTTGAATAATATTTGTAATAATAACGGTGTTTACCAAGAGAAAGTGATTGTTGTACCTCTTCGATATCTCGGGTAAGCTTCGTGCAGAGGAAAATGCACTCATTTCAGAATGGTGCGCTCGTCACGAGGAATCTCACTTTTCGAGGGCTGACTTTAGGCTCTTATGCTTCTCACAGTGTGCCAGAGACTTTTCGAGTAAGAGATTTGAATGATTCAATGTATATCGTAAAGCGAAGGCTTTCTACATAATTAGAATTTCCACACGGATATGTCTAGTTTTCGAGTGCCAACATTCATTAGTTAAGTCTTTTGTCATTCATCAGTCTTTACTTAAAATATTAACGAAAATTAAAAGAACTTTGGAGCACAAAGAATAGGACTCACTGATCTTTCTGGACATAAGTGTGCCATTTAGTAAAGCCCTCTATAAGATAATAGAGGATAGTTCTAGAAGCAACCCAAGTAGATCCTAATATGGATAAATAGTCTGCTTAACGTGGAGTGGAACGTTAGCCAGACTGCTTAGGATAGCTTATAGGGGAGCCCCTCAGAATGGTGTTCTGTCGCCACTCCTGTAGATAGATACTCGTAGCGAATGAGGTTCTGGAAAAATTCGAAGATAAAGTAGCCAAACTAATTGGCTAAGTGTACGACAAAGCTGCAGTTGGCACGGTGAAATCTGTGGACACCAACAGCAAAGTAAGAGAAAACGCTATAAGAGTCGTACATCGGTGAGCAACATCAGCCAACTTAGGGTTAAATACTGACAAATGGATGCAGTATTTTTCACAAGAAGGTACAAAGTCTCCAAAGTTCAATGGGGTAGAGCAATCAATCAAGGCCCACGCTAGGTACTGGGAACTGCAAATAGAAGAAAGAGTAAACCTTTATGCATGAAAAAGATATTGAACACCATTGATTTGGTGTTACAGGGTGCTCTGCTTGCGAAAAAACCTTATATAGAAATCCAGCGGCTAGTGTGCTAAGGACCGACAGCGAAATAAGCTATGAGATTGATGTTCTTTGGTGAATTTTCCGCCACAACCTTCGAGCACAGCTCTATATGCGGAGGTATGGAGGACGAAGTAGAGTGCATACCACCATGTTTTATCTGAGATAGAGAGTTTCAAGCTACATTGAAGGAGTGGAACGTATGACATCTACACGGATGGATAACAAATGGCTGAAGTAGTGCCAGCCAGAGCTGGCGAAGCTATCGTCATCGAATGCCTCAGATCGTTAAGCGCCTTCAAATGTTGTTTAAAAGAGTGTACCGATCACTCAACGTCTTGGAATTCTTTTAACGTAGGATGTACCACTAAAAGATGGGGTATCAGCGTGGATGGTGGACAGACCAAACTCCTACTTGCTTTAAGCAAAAGAGATTTTACAATTTTTGGATCTAAAGGGTGATTTTTTAGCTATTATATTTTGGCAACACTGGTTTAAACAGCTGACGCATATTTCGAGTTTCGTATTTCGTGTAACGTAACTGTGATTTGTGAGCGCAACCGTGAGATGATATCAAACTTTTTTGCCCAAAACGCAAGAGCTTGACTTGCATGACATGTGGTTTCAACAAGATGGTGCCATATGCCATACAGCACGCGTTACAATGGACTTATTGCGAGGCGTTTTCGGTGAACATTTTATTTCTCGTTCGGGACTGGTCAATTGGCCGCCTAGGTCGTACGACTTAACGCCTTTAGACTATTTTTTGTGGGCTATGTTGAATCTAATGTCTATACAGACAAGCCTGCTTCAAAGACAGCAACAGTAAGCATTTGTTCGTGTGATACCGGCCGAAATAATGGAAAGAGTATGCCAATATTGGACTAAGCGAATGGGCCATTTGAGGTGCAGTCTCGGTCAACATTTGCCTGAAATAATCTTCAAACATTAAATTATAAGGACCGTACTATCGATGCAAATAAAGATTTCCTGAGTTTTTCTTAATTTTATGTGGTTTTTGTTAACGTAACATCTACCTCTAAGATATCATCTCCAAAAGCTAGGTAAAATAGAGTCGGCTGAGTGCAAAGCATGCACAGAGTATGGCGAAACGCTGGACTACTTTTGCGTTTATTCGGCCTTCAGCCGATTGATACATCAAATCTTTTACGATGCTCCTAGCTCCAACCTCTCAGAAGTGAACACTCATGGCTAGAAGAAACATAAACAATTTATTAAAGAGAGCGAACTTTTCGCGAAAACCTCGTAGGTATACACGGTTGAGCAGATGAGCCTACTCAATTTCTTAAGTTCGGGTTCTTAACCTCCATATTTTTTTTTCAAAATTAATATACAAATTTTTATTTACTTAATCCTTAAATATATTTTCCACTCACCTTTCTTGCGCCCTCATTCTCCTCAACCAAATCGGTTTTATTGCCCACCACCACAATGGGTACAGCTGCGGTCGCTTTGGTCTCGTGTATTTGATCGCGTATCAAGCGCACCTCCTCGAATGTGGCAGCATCGGTGACATCATATACCAAAATAAATGCATCCGCCGATGAGATGGAGAGAGCGCGCATTGCAGGAAACTATGGAAATCCGACAGGAAGACACATGGCCGTGACGATATACCACAGGCGAATGTGAGGAAGATAGCCAAAACGAAAAACGAAAATCGAAAAACGACAAAAGAGATAGAGAAAAAGTGGGACAATGAAATAATGTCAGATTTACATATTATTATTGCTATTATTTTTACTGTTATTATTTACTCTCAGTTATGCACATATTTTATGAAAAACAATAATCCGATTTTCAAAGCATTAAAATACAAATGCGAAATCTCAAAGAAGGACACACATACATACGTTACTGTAAGTAAGTTGGAAAGGAAAACAGGTATGAGAATATGAGAACAGCATTTTCAATTTAATCTCGTTTAGTGAATTGAATTTTCCATTGGCATTTGTTGGGCAAAGAGCAAGTAAAACTGTTTTGTGTTTTTATTTTATTTTCTACTTCGCTTTGCTCTTGCTATTCTGTCAAGTATCCCGTAAGGGCAGGCGAAGACAGCAGAGGAGACATTGCATGTAGCTATTAAATTGTTGTTGTAATTGTGTTATTGTAATAATTAAGTTGGCAATAACCGCAGGTTCCGAGTTTGCATAAGTTTAACTTTATTAAATCGAGGCAAGAGAAAGTTGTTACTTTGTAGATGTGTATGTATATTGTACTGTCTTGCTTTGTTGGCAATTTTTAAGTTAATTATTACTAATAGTGAATAAATGCATTTAAAACAATTTTTTGAAGTATTTTTGTATCAAAAATAGGACTTTTCTTTTTCACGCGACCTACAAAAGAACGCCCAGGTGGCTTATTGATCTTGATATCCGCAGTTTTCATGTGGTTGATTTGCCGCAAGAAATTATATTAGCTAAGTAGCGGAAAATTTTGTAGCTCTGATGCATTATGAACCACTCCAAACTTGACTCTTGACTCCATAAGTAGTGTACGAAGTATCTGAGGATATTTTATGTAAATCTATCTAGTTAAACCTTGCAGACAATCTCAGGAAATTTGGATTATCGGTCTACTCGAGCATGTGATACTACGCTGTACTTGCGTGGCTCGAGCTACATGGATCACTGTGTTTTCAAATTGTTGATAGGTGACGCCATTTATACTATAAGCCTTTCCCAGGGAGTTGGTAAGAGAAAGCCTTCTCCTATCGGCAGTACTAAACGACTTAATGCCGATCAAATCTCGTTGAGGAGGTTGGCGTAGGAATCTTTTATAGGCAACTATTTCACAGGGTTTGAGCTTTCAGTTCCTGGCAATGCTTTTTAAGCAGAGGCTGCTGCGAAAACAATAGTAAAACTCAAGGTTTCTAATATCGCGAAGCAATACTTATAATCGTAGTATGTGGCATCGGGTACTACTTTTTTGTTGGTCGTAAGCGTTTTTAATTGCGCTGTTTGGCGTCAATTGGAAGTAGTAACACCATTGAATACTTACAAAATTGCAATGGACTTTGTTCGCTGAACTTTGTTAGCGGCAGCCGGGGTAGCCGAGTGGTTAGCATTGCGTACTACTTTTCGGAAGGCTCGGGTTCAAGTCCGGGTGTCGTATTAACATCCAAAAAGTTATAGAAATTTAATACGAATAAAAAATTAAATTCAATTTTCTAATTGCGGTCAGCCCTCGGCGGGGGGAGGGTCGCGTGTTTCGACTAGGCAGCCGGGAAGTAAGATTCGAAGGCTCGAGTGAAAGGTATTGCATTGCAGCAATAAATCTTGGAATTTTGCCAAGTCCTCACAGTCGAAGCTATTTGTAGCAGGAAATGGAATTATAAAGAGTGGTTTTACGCTCGGGAAGTACCTTTTTTATGGTATGGCATTGGATATGTCTTGTGTGTGGGATGTGTGGAATTGTCTTAAGACCAGTTAACTTAAAATAATCTAGTCCAAATATTAGAAAATTTAAGATTTTAATTGTTACTTTTTTTGTAATTTTTCGGTGAAAAATTTTCTAAAAAACATTTTTTTTTAATTTTTACCCATTTATTCAACTGTTTTTTTATTAATTTTAAAATATTTATTTTTTACGCAGACAACAATTCTATTAAAAATATCTCCCCGCTTTTGAGATAACTTTCAAATATATTATAAAAGGTGGCAGCTCTCTCTTTATAACTCTCCAGAACTGGCTGTCACAATTTAATAACAATTTTAGTTTTATTAAATAAATTATATATATATACATATGTTGCTATAAAAAACTGGTTGAGTCCTTAAGGAGCCTCACGTAGACTATACATAACTATAATTGGCGACTCTTCCTAAAAATGAATTTAATTGTAAGTCTTTTTAAATCTGAAGTGTTAGAGATAAACATTGTTTAATAAATCGTTGTTGTTATAGTTTTTAAGGAGAATTATTGCAATAATTTTTTAGGGCATATTTTTGAAAAAGGTGGCAACTCTGTCAAAAATTTTTTAACAGAAATTTTCCTATGCCCTAAATTGCGGTAAGCCAAATTTTTCTTTTATTTTTACATATTTTTATATCAATCCCATTTGACGACAGGTGGCAACGCTCTGTAAATATATAAAAACAATTTTGCATTTTTTGAATCACTAGCGTTGATTAATATCTGTTTAATTTTTGGTATGTGTATACAAACATACATATTACGCTAATATGCGTGTGGAACTCATTTAAAGCAGTACAAAATTAATTATTAAATATTAAATATTAAATACTGCCAGGCATATGGGTAGCATATTTTCAGAGAATATTTAAATTAACTTTTTGTTTAATTAAATTACCATGTTAGCAATAATCTCTTTGAAAATGTTATGTATAACATAAAAAATTAATTCATTTAACCACTTTTGTCTGCTTAAATTTTGTTTTGCACCCCCGGGCGTATGAGCAACATTTAATCGAACATGCCTTTGCGAAATAAATTTAATAAAGCGGCAAAATCAAATCAAAATTCTTTTAACTCCAACATTAAATTCATATACATATATTTAGCCACAGGTGAAAGGAAAATGTTGCAGAAGCTTTTATTATTATTATTTTGCTCATTTCCTGACACATTTATGTATCTGACGTTATCTATTTAGTCAAAGTCAAAATATATAAATATAAAAAATTAAAAATAAAAAAAAGAGCCGTAATCACCAGCATCATAAATTCTTACTTTTTAATGCTCACAATATTGCTGCATATATATGTATATACAATATGTACCCATGTATACACAGGTATGTATCCATGTATACACAGGTATGTATGTATTTTCGCTGCGTTATCTACTTTCGTTCGTCCGCAATAAAATTAGTGATAATGCCACCACATACTCGTAAAAGATTTTTCTAATCGCATACATTCATTTCGCTTATCAAGCACAGCCATTAATATACAATTAAAATGGGTTGTAAGCACTTAGTTTAATTACTATACGACCAAGGCGCGTGGTGTGTAGTGAAAACTACATACACGTACGTACAATTATTGGCAGAAGCAGCAGCTCAAGGGGTTTGACAATTAATAGTTTTTTGTAAAATGTTTTAAATGATTTTGAGATCGAATTACTTAAGCAATCTTTGAACTAACATTTTCTAATGAATTTTAAAATTTTTTTTTTGAAAATACAAAAAAACTGAGCCTCCGATTAAGCAATGATATTATTTGTAAAAATTTTATAATCTTTTTAGATTTCGAATTCGCAGTAAAATCTTAATTTTGGCATTTACATATAGTAGCGCGTTCTACTAAGAGAGAGTAATAAGTTTGATTAGAAGGTACGTTTCAGAATTTTTTTTTTGTGAAAATAATCGAGACAAATAGACAAGTAATACAAAATTTCTAGAAAACTTTTCAAAAGCTTGCAACCTTCCAGAATTCAAAAGTTAGTGAGAATTATTTCGAATTATTTTTCTGCTCGTCTTTAAAAACTATATTTGAGATACACCCAAGGAAATATGTTTTTGGCCCCTCAGCTTATATGCCCATAATTTATTTTAAATTTTGTTCTTCTTAAATAAAAACAAAAGGATGTGATTAGCGAACATTTGCAGAAGAAGCTGGAGAGAGGACGGGTATTAACCAATTTCTCTTCTCCTTTGCTTAAATGGGTAAGTCTATTAATGACAATTATTTCTGATATTGTTCTGCCCTCTTTTCCTTTTCTCCATTTTTCGAAATGCAACACACAAGTTTCTGTGACATTGCCAAAGCTATCATAATTCATTTTCTTTTTCAAAAAAAAAAAAAACTTCATGAAAACCACACTTTATCCCCATCAGACATCAATCATAATAGCATAATAAACGTTGATGGCACATACCCCTTCATAAGTCAGCTTAGAAAGCAAATACAATATTAAAGTCAACTACTTTTTTGAACTTTGTTTGCACTTTGAAACAAGTAAAGGAAAAAAAAAAAAAAAATTGAACGAAAAAATAGCAAAAAATCGAAGTAAAAGTGCATGAGCGGGAGGAAAATGGAAAAATGAATTTAAATTTAACGAACAAACATACCGAAGTCATAACTATATTGCACTAGAGTATATTTACATACGTATATGCATGTATATATCTATGTCTGCATATGTATATTACGCTGCATACACAACAGCTTGCATAATCCCCTTTGCATGAATCTATTAGAGAGCAAAATTCAATGTGTAACATTGTAGAGAAGCGAAAAAAGTTTATTTTTTTTGGAATGCATACAATACATAGACGCATGCACCTTTGACAAGAGGCAATGAAATTTAAAACTGGTTAGAAAAAGTACTAGTCTACCACTTACAACTAGACCGAAAGCTGGAAAGAAAAAACAGCTGAGAGTAAATATTGTTGCTGCCTTAATTGAATTCATTTTACAATTTTATTTCAATTAATTCAAAAAACTTGTCGGAAAGTTATGAGTTTGTGATGCGCTTACAACTAGTCCGTGAAACCCCCTAAAGCTATTCATTATTGCCTTCTTCCAAGTCATTTTTCTCATAGAAACTCTTACCCATATTGGCAAAAAATTAGGACATTTGATTTTCACAGGCTTCTCTTAAGGCCAAT